ATCATTGAATCAGACATATATAGGGATTTATCATCTGTTGTCTTAACCTATTGTTGAACTCATTGCTTAGACTGAATTGATCACTTAGTCTCTGATTTAGGGTTTAATTTATTCATCGAATGTGTTATAGATTGCTTGATAGAACATAGGTGAGCAAATTTTCCTTAGCCAATGAAAGCTGATGCTAAGGCAATTTGTGAACATATCAAACCTGCTCGTTAATGCTTGTCTAGAATTCTAAGTTCAAACGATAGTTTAGAATTTTAGGTTGCTAGATAAAGCCTCTAATACCACGACAGTGGATTGGTTATACATTCATGTTTGAATTCTAGATTGTGCCTATTTATTTCCTGAATGACTGATGATCTATGAATTCCTGCGAATCGTCCTAGACCTAACGCTTGTTTTAATTGATTTTTACATCGTTTTTATTTACTGTTTTAGTTTCATATTGCAAACAACCATCATCTTTCTTTCTTATCTTAACTTCAGTTCTTATAATTCAAAGTGTAAAACTTGGTTCTCGTGGATTCAATCCCTAAATTCCTACAACATTTGTTGTGCACTTGTAGTAGATTATATAGGGTTGAAACCTCTGTTATCAATAGATTAAACAAGTTGATTAATTTTCTGTACAACCTAAACATTTCATTTATAATAAAACTCTCATTTATATTTTTTAACGCCGTAAAGTTTCAAATGAAAATGGATAAGTTCTTCCAGTTTCACACCAAACAATAACAAAATTCTATGTTTACGTGTATTTTCAATCATTTTTCGGATCGTCCTGTGTCCCGCACCGCAATGTCATCTTTCGCACATCTGTAGTGGTCTAACGGAACACTAAATGAAATTCATATTAAAGATACTCATTTTTTTGGTATGGATTTAACTGTACCAACCTAACGAAACCATTCGGTAACGGGTACTTAAGTAACAATGAACTATTCTTTGCTAATCTTTTTTCACTTACTAAACACAATCACGTATTGATAGTGCCAAAGAAACAACCAAGTGCTAAACCGTAAACGATTTAACCGATTAGACCGATTAAAACCAAAACTGAACGTCTATACGGAATAACCAATTAAGTTCGATTTCAAACACAGGACTATATAATATACAAATTTTGGCCCATATCTTTGAAAAGCACTTTTGAGAAGTGTATCTTAAAGCCCATTATAGATTTACTTAAAGCCCATAAAAGCGAGAAGAAGATCACTTTTTGTTTCCCGAGTCAAACACCGAGTTTAGTACCGAGTCTCAGAAAACTCGCTGTATCGTCGCCATGGGAGGAGCACACAAGAACCTCGTTTTCGTGTACGGTACGTTAAAACGAAACCACCCAAACTATTTCCTATTAGAAGATCTGATCTCCAAACACGACGCCGTTTTCGTCGGTCAACGCACGACCCGGTTACAGTACCCGCTCGTTACGGGTCTATACGGGATTCCTTACTTGATCAACAAACCCGGGTCGGGTCAAAAGATCCGAGGCGAGCTGTATTCGGTTTCAAAACGAGGGCTTGTAAGGCTTGACGAATTGGAAGGGATCAAAGTGGAGCATTACGAGAGATTACCGATTGAGGTGGTGATTGAGGAGGAAGAAGAAGATGAATCAAACGGCGTCGTTTTAGCGGAGGCTTACTTTGCTCATTGTAGATTTGGTGAGAGATTGTGGGAGAAGAAAGGAAAGTGTGGGATGTGTGAGTTCGGTGAAAACGACGCCGTTTTGTATGTTAGGCCTAAGGATAGGCCAAGGTTTAGCTCTGTTCTTGATGAAATTGAAGCTTTTGTGTCTTCAAGTAACGATTGATAGTCTAATTGATTCAATAGTCGTTACAATTTGGTTTAACTTTTGGAGTAAAAAGGACTTATGTAGTGTAATGATGATCATGGTTTAGCTCTATTCTTGACGAAATCGAAGTTTTCGTGTCTTCTATTACTGATTCAAGAGTAATTGATTCAATGGTCACTACAATCTCTAAAGGTTTTATCACAACGGGTATAGCTCAAAATTCGTTCTTGGCTTCTATTTTTGGAGTAAATATCTCTATAGTGAAATGATGGATTGTTTTCGATGATTATGATTATGGTTTAGCTCTCTTCTTGATGAAATTAAAGATTTTGTTTCTTCTAGTACCGATTGAAGAATGGTATTACAGTCTCTTTTCTAAGGTTTTATCACAATGGGTATTGGGTATAGCTCAAAGTTTTACCGTAATTTTACCATTTATACCTTCCATTATGTTGTTACGTTTTCATATTTCACGTTTTTATTAGTGATTCCGCTACATACAATATTCTAGCTAGTATGTGTTGAGAATATTATATTCTTTTAAAAAAATACCATTAATCTAATTAATACTAGCATTTTGTAATCATGTTTATAAAGAAAGTAACAAACTATATAAGTTACAGTTTGGTGAGTATTGCTGCAAAAACTGTTTTTGGAAGTGGGTGTTACTGGTAGGAGAAGTAGACAAAGAGATTCGTTGCGGCTTTATAATGCCTTAACTTATACGCACTCTGTTTTGTTTTCTCGCTTTTTTGTCGTTTCAAGTTTTGTTTTTTAACAGGTGTCATGTGTGAGAGAAACCGAAAATCTACTAGTGGACTTTTTTTGCTTGTATGTTGTTGTCAGGCTATGTGATCTCCATTGTCAGTGAGGGACCAAACGCTTTGTCTTAGTGCATTCTCGATAAGACTCTTAAGTACAAAACATCTATGTTCCTCAAATAAGGATTTGGCTTAGCAACCCGTGAGATATAGAAATGACCTAAACATCGTTTTGATTCTTGCAGAGTTGTAACGTTTTTAACTAAAGAACCAGGGTTAGACTCGGGTTGTATAGATCTTCAATGGACTAGATGGGATGGATGAAATACCCGTTAGACCGATCATTTTCTTTGCATTTTTGTAAATTAATTGCATCCGCAAAACTAAATCAAAAATCGAGCCTAATTCCTTAAATTAGATTCAGTCTAAATCATGACCATTAGATCATTTCTATCCACATGCTTTGTTCACGAGGAATAAGTTTGTGACATAGAGTATTTGGTAACTTAATCCAAAATGTTACATCTAGGACAATAGTAGATAGTAACCACGATGTTTTGTACTTGTTCTCATTAGATATATGGAATTTTCTTATGGATCTGCACCATAGATACTTGACGATTCAAAGGAACACACTTTCTTGATCATCAACTCAATAGTACATTGTGTTGGATCTATGATTCCATTGAGAGAACTTAAGTGATTAAGCTTTTTCGAGGAAGCGTGGAATATAAGTGAAAGAAGAAGAAGAGCACTATGGTTTGAGCAAATCAAGATGGGTTCTAGCTACTATTGGTCCTACTTCTTCACGCCAATTTTCAACAACGACGGTGTGTGCTTTTTTCCATGTGATCTCCCACTTCGTGTTTGTGTATGAAACTATACATATACCCCCACGTATTTGTACATATTTATCATCATTGCCTTCCTCTATCTCTCTCAATGGAACAAATCTGTATTTTGCTGGAACCAATTATGGGTAAATTGGGTGCTTATACTTTTGACAATGCCAAAATTGAGCTCTTCATTTGTCAATGTGATTACACACTTTTCTCCAAAAACTCAATTTTTTTTATATTCATAGAAACTATACTTTAACTCCCCATTAGCATAGTCAAACGTACCAAACTTGTGTTAATCTAGTGATATTATTGTATATAAATATTTGACTGGAAAATGATTTAGATTTTAATCGAACGTATATTTACAATTTGATTGGTAATCCACGCAATGAAAAATGATTATGAAATTATACAAGTTTTTGTATTAGTCATACAATTATACAAAAAATTATTACCTTTAAATTCCAAACATATCTAACTTCAAATTTATAAATATGGGCAATAACACAAATTTCGTCAACTCCAAATTTTTTCAACGACACCAGTTTTTGCAAATGTCAGACTATCTTATTTTTTTTCTCGAGAATGTAGGGCGAATGTCCTGAATTCCCATAGATTTTAGGGGCAATTAAAAAAATGCCATTTTTTGTGTGCACATTTGCAAGAATGCCACTTAGGGGTGTCCATTTACAAAAATGCCACTATTTATAGATTTATAAAACCTATATCTTAAAATTCTAAACCCTAAAAAATATTTTGACACCTAAAATCCCCTAAACATTCAAAACTAAACCCTAATAGAACATAATTAACCCAAACATAAATAATGTAAAGAAAAATAATTTTGAAAAAGTAGCATTTTTGTAAAAATTTTAAAAATGTGGCATTTTTGTAAAGTGGCATTTGAAAAGTGGAATTTTTTGAAATTTCTCTAGATTTTTA